TAACTTCAAATACGATGACTTCATATTTGTACTTGATATTATCAGCAGGTATGCTGGTGTGGTTGTAAGGTTGCTTTTAATACATGTCCACAAACGAGCTCTGATAAGATAGCACTGTTGATTAAGGCTGCTATTGCATTTTGATGCCAATGTCATTCAAATGCACTGATAGCTTGAAGAACAATTCTTCTGTATATGAGAGTTTATGAAGATGTATTTAGGAGAGGTAGCTTTGAACTGCTTTGCTGCTTAAGTGTGATATGATTTCAGTATTGTCTCCTTTTAAGATATGTGCAGGTCTAGCAATTTTTATTCTAAGAGATTTTAAAGGGAGTCTGAGTCAGGCAGAAAAATACTGTGACACTGCCAACCTGTACAATACTATATCTTTGTTTTGATTATAAAATGGCAGATTGAGACTGTGAACTGACAGCTTGCCCTGTGTAGTGGGCTCTGAAAAATGCATTTATTTTGCTTATAGCTCTTTGCCTCTGTGTATGGCACACAGTGATAGGATTTGAAGGAAAATGAGAACTTTTATTTAAGGAGTGCAACCTTAACATTGCAATGTAACATTGGTGCTCTGCATTTATGAAGATACATCTACACTCACAGTTGGAACAGCAGTATTAAGAAATTAATAAATATGTCTAAACTTTGTTTTATTACTCTAGGCTGATGCAGGTTGGAGAAGAATTTTGTGGCAGTAAGTCTGAAGTTTTGCAAGAATCAATCAGAAGACAAAGTGTTAACTATTTCAAGACATATCACAGGTGAGACTATTATATGTGCTGTGGATGATTCTAATGGAATTTGTTATTGTTGGGTAAATGCTTTCCATTTATATTATGCAGGAATTCCACTGCATAATATATTCCTGTGTTGAGGCTGACAGGAGTGTGTGTTTCCCGGTCAGAATAAGGCTCTGAACCTTGGAGAAGGGGAGAAGATAGAGTAGCCATTGCTTCCACTGTGTTTGTGGAAAACCATAATTCTGTAGCAGCAAGCCAGATAAAGATGAACAACTTTTTAATGTGGAATTTCAGTAGTTTTTTAGTTTGCCTCTTGTCTCCTTGCATCCTGTGGAGCAACGCCTCTGAAGGCCATACTTTGTAGCAAAATTGTGCCTTCTT